GGGAACGATTAAGAACGAAGGGCCGGAAGTCGGCCCCCAATTGCCGAGCAGGCCTCTGGGAGATTGCTGGATTGCTGGTGAAGAACCCGCCGGCGGACATGCGCCGAAGGCCGAGGGAAGCGGCCCGTCCCTTTGGCAGGAGCATAGAGTGGAGACGCTCTGCGCTTTGCGGCTTAGCTTCTCGGTGTCCCGATGCTGGGCAAAAGGCCTCAACGTTAATGCTACTGGACGGAAAGCTCTGCCCTCCTGTGGTCAAAAACGGGTATTGCCGCCAGCAAAAGAAATAAACGCTTTTAATGGCATTTTAAAATTACGATATTCTCTGTCTTTATTAACGGTATTAAAACCTTATTAACAGGGCCAGGGGAGGCCCGATTGCTGCAAGGCACAGGCGCGGAAGAAGAAATCTGCTTCAAAAGCCTTCAACCTAGTTAAGGAGGACTAGGATGCCCTATTAATATTAATAAGGTTTTAATAAGAAAGAGTAGCCTTAAAATGCCATTGACAAGTTTTGTAATGGCTGCTGGGCCTGCTTCAACCACGGGATGGATTGCACTGTTTTTTGACCCTTAATAGCACGCAATAGCTTCAATAGATAAATAAAAAATAATAATCATCTTAAAATCATGTTAAAAGGGTTTCTTTCCTTTTGTGGCCGCTATTCCTTCTTTAACGCTTTAGTCTCAATAAATAACTTCTCCTCTCCCGGGAAATAGGCGATGGGAGCCTAAGCGGGCCTCCTGTGCATTTTCCTCGCTGTTTTTAAATATCCCTCGGCTACGACCAACCCAAGCAAAGCGGCTACCAACGGAATAAGAGACGTGGAGCTCCAGCTAGAGCTTAACAGAATGTCTCTCTGCAGCAACAAAAAGGATTAAATGGGGTGTGTGGGGACCAGCAAGGTATCTGAAAGACCTGAGCTTTCCTAAGAGTAGAATAGCATTTTTTAGAGCCAGACATTTTAATATCCTCTCCTTGGCCCTCCTGCAGGGCAGGAATGATAAAACCCCAAGACTGACTGAAGGTGTACTCGTGGCAGTGGGGAAGCTGAAGATCTCTCTCACACGCGTGTCCTCTTAGTCCAAAGCCAAACATTTAAACCAAAAGCCGTTCTTTGGATCTGAAAAATATTTCCTTTAATTGTGTGCATTGTACGGGGAGGAATTTGTGGGAATGAGGGGGGCGCGGGGGCGGGGCTTAGAGTCTTAATGTTTCTGCTCACTTCTTGCCCTGTTATGTCAAACGCCCAGAAATGTGAGAAGGGGCTTCAGAAAAGGCCGCCAGTCTGCGGGTTCTAGGACTGACTCGCTCGGAGCCTAGATCCCAATAACGCTCAGTGCCGTGTTTCTTAAAATGCTCACTGCTTGAACTTCACCTCGCCAAAGCTCCGCTCCTTTGCCGTGCCCTAGAAGGACACAGAGAGAGGCAGGAGAGATTCTGAGCCAGCCTACGTATCGAGGGTTGCATTGCATGGACTGGAAGCTTGCGTAATGCAGATAATTCCTCTTTCCTTGCCCGTGGCTTACTGGTGAAGCCCTGAGGGTTGAAGTAACCCTTTAGAGTGAGTCCTGACCTCTCCCACTTTTTGAATTAAAGAGGAGGGGTGCTCTGAAGGGACAATTGTACAGAGCACCCACAGTTCAGTTCCTGAAGATGTTTCTCTGTCCTGTCGCTAAGGGGGCATAATAAAAACCAGGACATTCTTAGTGACGCTGGGAATCACCAAATGCCTCAGTTAGACCGTAAATACTACTCACCTGCCAAACCAGGGAACATTTGTTGGGTTTTTTTTCACAGATTCCTCCTCATCTGCAAGAAAAATAAACTGCTTAGGGTGTAAGAATGGGGAAACAACTGAAGATGGATTTGTCTGTTCAAAAGTACACTCAAGATTGTGGCAGCTCAGCCTGGACATCCCAATTTAATTCTGAGGAAGATATGAGAAGATGCCATTGGAGTAGTCAAAAGAGTCACAGCTAAGCCCCAAACTAGAAAAACGCAGCAGACCTGAGCAACTATGGGTAGTAAAGGGGTCATTCGTCTGTCTGCACATCGCAGCAAGCACAAGGTATGAGTGATTGTGAGGGCCTGAGGCTCCAACTCTGAAAGCACTTCATTTACAAAGCAACATATTCTTTTCAACTCTTTTCAGCCTGCTTTCATCTTGTTTGCATAGAAATTCAGGACAGGCAGCTGCCAGCAGCTTAGCTAGATCAGAACAAGACCTACACATTTGACAAGGAAGTCAGAGAAACTACAGGGAGATGCACAGAATGCAGTTAAAACACTACCTAGAAGCTTGCTGCAAGTAGTATAGGTCAGGGTTCTCCAACCCCCGGTCCGTGGACCAGTAGCGGGCCACAGCATGCCAGCAACCGGTCCATGCAAACAAGCAAAGCCCCAAAGCCCCAGATGCAGGCAGCACACAAAACCATGCACTTTCCAGTCCGTGGAAAAGCCTTTCTCCACGTTAACCGGTCCCCGGTGCCCAAAAGGTTGGGGGCCTCTGGTATAGGTCATGCTAAGAACACTGAGCTTAATACCTGAGATTTGGGGCTGAATTGTGGCTGTAAGTCGAGAACTGCCCATATTAAGTGAGATTTATGCCATGATGTCATGGCATACCTGATGGGCATCTCTAGAGGAAGGGCGAGTGACCTCATTTTAGCCGATATTCAGACCAGCGAGATTTCTCAGCCTGCAACTAACCGCGTTTAATGAATTTCACACACCATTCAGAGAAGGAGATGGGGTGATCTGCATTGGTTCTTCTTCTTGAACCGGAAGCCGGCCTCCGCAGGCAGGACAGAAGTGAAACATTTCTTCAACTTTCTGTCCACATTGGGGACAAAAATTGCCCATCCTGGAAAAAGTCACCAAGAAAATAACAGGGTGGTCAGATCCCTAAGTAAACTGATGCATACCAGAAAGCTGAATGTGCCCAGGGAAAAAAAAGTAGATTTTAATATATACTGGCTGAATGCTGCAGTGAAATTCTTAGAAGTCTTTAATCACCTAACTTTTGTTTTATTAGGGTGGAGAAAAAAGAAGTCCATATAACAGAAAATAAAAAGGAAGGCTATAAAGACACCCGCTTATAAAAAAAAAATGTCCCAAGGTTCTTTACTTCAAAATAACCACAAATTACATCTGTTCTGTTCTTGGTGTTCTCTAAGCCTGCTTCTCTTTTTCATGATCAAGCCTGAAACATCTGCAGAAGGCAAGCAAACCTGAAAACATCAAGAAAATAATCCTATCTTGACCTACAAATATTTTCCACCTTCACAAATTAATTTGCTATTTATTTCCTATTACCTATTCCTTTACCATGACTATAACTTGTTGTTTATATCTTATGACTTATGTAGATTGCTTTATTTAGTATTCTATGACCATCACTGAGTATTGTATCTTATGATTTATGATTGTATTCTATAATTATGATTTATCACTTGTTGTTTGCATGTACAACCGAGAGCTTATGTACCAGAAACAAATTCCTTGTGTATCCAATCACACCGAGACAATGAAGAATTCTATATTTCTATTTATAATAACTAATACACAATCTCTAGTGGTGAAAAAGCATTTCCAGAGAAACCTTTGTGTTCATGGGCTTTCTATAAAAAGATATGACAAAACCGGGCTTCAGTAGGCCTTAATACATAGAGAAATACATATTTGATACAAAACAAATGTGCTAGTTTGCCTGAATTTTGCTTAATATCTTTCGCAGAGCCAAACAACTGTACTTCATGCAAATAAACTATGGTTAAGCAAAGGAAGGGCTTAATTAGATCTGGAGATCTGCAGGTGACCATTGTCCACATACTTTAACTCTTTTACTAACCCAGTGTTTCTCAACCTTGACAATTTTAAGGCATGTGGACTTCAACTCCCAGAAGTCCACAGCTAGCAATGCTGGCTGTGGAATTCTGGGAGTTGAAGTCCACATGCCTTAAAATTGTCAAGGTTGAGAAACACTGTACTAACCAGAACAGGAATCTTCGAACTTGGCCCTTTTATGACTTGTGGACTTCAACTCCCAGAATTCCCCAGCCTTCTGGGAGTTGAAGTCCACAAGTCATAAAAGGGCCAAGTTGGAAGACCCCTGGTCTAGGTCAATGTTTCCAACCCTGGCAACGTGAGGGTGTGTGGACTTCAACTCCCAGAATTCCCCAGTCATCTCCCCATATCCCATGGCAACACCGAGAGGCGTATGGGTCCGGGGGCTCCGGCCTATCCAGAAGCCTAAGAACCGGGCAAGGGAAGACGGGAGGCGCGTACTCCGCCTGCCTACCCACCCGGTGCCGGGCCCGCGGCTCCTCTTGGCGGCCGCGTCGCCCTCCTAGGCCCGCGGCCGCCACTTCCCAGCCGCTCCGCCGGATTTCATGGCGGCATCGCTTTCGCTTTCGCAGATTTCCAGATTTCCGGTGCGTGGCCACACCCCCTTCCTTTCCTGGACACGCCCCCCCCGCAGTGTGTGAAAACTTGCTTAGAATTCCCAGAGGGAAACAAACAAACAAACAAACAAAAGGTATCGGGTCATAGAGAGGACCTGGTCCTCCAAGATAGATGGGCCTGCAAGTACTTCCGTCAGCCGCCAGGGGCAAAACGCAGGAAACGCTCCATGCATTTTTTTTTCCAATTTTCCACACTAAAACCCAAGCCTTGCAGCAGCCTTGACTTTGATTTTTAATCGCAATTTCGTTATTTTTTTTTTTAATAAATAACTCAAGGCGATGAATGCACCTAAATAATACACTTTCATCCTATTTTGCCCACAATAGAGGAGTTTGCTTTACTGTTCCCCATGGAACCTGCAGTTACATCTATGAGCCACCAGGGGCAGCATGTGCCATAATTAAACATAATCTCCCATTTCGTATGATAAAAGAATGGTATATTGCTACATTTTCTCTATGGAGCCTGGAATGTGTGAACGGAACCATCCGGGTCAGTGTATTCTGTACTTTCAATATATTGCCCCATTTGGGTCTGGAATATCCCAATGAGCCAATGGGGCAGTGCAATATGAGTGCTGTAGTGCAGGCACCATAGCGCGATTAATGGATTTATTGTGCAATATCCTATACAGCACATCCTAAGTGGCTCTCTAAGGTACTGGAATCTCAACAGTGGAAAACAAAGAAACGCATGCATCGTTTATTAGATGTGTATGTTATCCATCTGGCTTAGAGGCCATTCATAAAGGACATACAATGCCTTGGTTGCCCACTTGGGTTATTGTAAACACTCCAGGCTGCCGTATGTCCAGTGTAGTCCATTATATTGCAGTATACAATATTCCCCACTAATCCTGTAATAAGTCATATAGAGGGCAGTATATCCTATATATTGCTTTATATGTCCCACTGAGCAGTACCCATCATCTGCTCACATTACACTCAGTTGCAGCCAAGCCATTACAGAACTGGCTTGTGATTTAATCTTGCACGGACCCAGCCATTGTGGTTTATACCAGCGGTGCTCAACTTATGACCACAATTAGAACCAGAAAAAACAGTCCTTGATCTTAAGTTGAGGGACTCATGGAACTGAAAGTTGACACTTGAGAGCAACTACATTTCATTTTTAATGTGTGCCGTTGTGTCCAAAGGGGGGAAAAATGACAATAAAGGTTTATCTATCTATCTATCTATCTATCTACTTTGAGTTCTGTCATGGCAGTCATTAAGTGAACAGTGTGGCCGTTAAGTGCAAATCCATTCATTTCAATGGGTGCTTTTGCTGGAAACTGGCAAAAACATGAGTCATATGACTGCAGAATGTTTGTGGTCATAAAGAGGACCAGCTGCCAAGCACCCAACATGCAGTCATGCGATCATGGGTATGTTTGTGTGTGACCATTTACAAAGGCTGAAGATTGTGTGCGTGCTTTATGGGAGGTAAAGCACCCATTCTGTGGCCGTCATAAATACAGATAAAAGTCGAGCACTGCCTAAAGCAAAGCCATTGAACTACAGAGCATGGCTGAGTATGCCACAGTTTAGCTTAATCTTCCTGGCTCCACGCATGTCAGGGCTAAAACCTTTGTGATTATAATTCATCCACCCTGCTAAGATGTTGAAACACTTCAAGGTGATGCATCATAAAAGACTCAGGAGTTTGTATATAAAGTTCGTTTTTATATAAAAAAAAAATCACTAGCCAACATGAACTTTCATTAACATTAATCTTTTTTTAAAAAATCACCTCTTTGAGCAGGTCCAATATTCCTCAAATTCATGCAGTCTTCAACACAAGCCTTTTTTAAATCTTGGTAGACAGTTCATGGAGGTATAATTCTTTGAAAAAACACTTCCCCCCCCCCCCCCGGCCCCAAGTGGACAATACAGCAAATAACAAAAACCATTATTTTGGTGTCTCCTGGTCACATAAAAATGGGAAAAAAGTGGTTGGTTTTTTTCAATGAAAAAGTGATTAGTTTTCAAGATCATTCAAGCCATATTGCATATCTGACACCCTATGGGCTCTTCCATAGAACGGACCTATTATTTTTTAGGGTTTTTCAAAATTTCTACCCTATTAAATTGATCAACATGGGTGTCATTTCCATCACCAGGCTCAGTCGCAAAGATTGTGTTCCTACTGTACACTTGAGGACTTCATGACAGCGAAAATAACGCATTTAACGTTGCTAGTTTCTGGGCAAGATCTGTTTAACTTGGACATGTTTTAATCTTGTATTTTAATGTTTTTTGTATGCCTTATTTTAATTGTGATGCTCCTGACACGAATAAACAAATAAATTTGGGTCACAAAGCCTTGCTCCACATCCCAGGGCTGTCAACACAGTTGTGGGGCCAGTGGATACAACTGCCTTGAATTCTTAGGAGGAAAGGAACAGGTAAAATCAGAGAAAGTAAGGAAGCGAGCGAAGAAAGAAAGAACACGATGACAAAGGAACACATGGGAAAGAAGGTTAAGGAATAGTATGCAAAAATGGGGACAGGATGCATTTGCTAAATAACTTTATGACACTAGTCCATAAGCGATATCTGTTATTTTGAACAGAAAGGCAGGAAACACTGTCAAATACATAGACAATAATTGGTAAACGGTGGTGTCCTATTCACCAATGACTGGCAGGATCCCGTTACAGAGCAGTATTTCTCAACCTCAGCAATTTTAAGATGCATGGACTGCAACTCCCAGAATTATTTGCTGGCTGGGGAGTTCTGGGAGTTGAAATCCACATGTCTTAAAATTGCTGAGGTTGAGGAATGCTGTGCTAGACCATCCTTCCCTAACCTGGTGCCCTCAAGGGTGTAGCTCAGCAACTTGGAAAGGGGTCACCTTACAAAAAGCAATTTGAGGGTAACAAGCATTTAAATGAGGTAGTATCCCTTCTCCAAATAACACCAGACAGTCCAAGCTACCAAGAAAACATTGCTCCATACCCTCTCAAGATGACTACAATAGCCAGCCCACTTTGATTAACATCTGCAGAGAGCATCCATCAATGAGATGTTTATATTTCAGAAGGTGGCCAAGGATCCATTTTGTATGTGTGTGTCCCTAATCTGGTCTCCTTCATTTCATGGATAAGTTGTTCTAATAGCAAGAGAAAGAGAGAAAAATTCAAGGATTGCTTCCGAATTGCTAAAAAGATCGGGGTGAAGCTGTCCGACATGGAACGTGAACCAAAATTTACTTGGTAACCTTATCTAGCACACAGGCCAACCCAATATCTCCTGGGAAGACTATGATTTGGTCCTGGAGGAGAGGTAGGTCTTCCATGTCGTAAGCTAGGACCTCTGTGTTGCACGTCTTAGCACCTTCACCTTTGATTTGGCTACCAGGGTGGGATGTAGTGAGGGTGGCAACCTCAAGAAAAGCTGACAGTTGTGTGAGGGGAACCAGGAACTACCCTGGGAAGCATAGAGAGTGATGATCCACAACATCCAAGATACTTGGTACAACAACCCCCCATTTTTGCTCCTGCTTTGAAGGATTCTGACGTTCTGAGAAACAGCTTCTAAGGTTCAAGCTTCAACAACTTCTGCCTTCCAAGCCTTCAAAGGCTCAAGAAACTCAAGTGGTTCTTCTCTTCTTCAATGTATGCCGTTACGTTCTTCCTCTTGGCTTGTCTCCTGCTAGAGCGGCCATTGGCAGAATGTAAACATGACTCTGAGCGCGAAGGCAGCTGTAGGATTTTATCCTTCACCAGCCTCAGTGGTTGCCCCAAACTGGCTTTGAGTAACGTGCTGAAGCTGCCATCGGTAGCAGTAGGAGGGCTGGTGCTGTTGACTGAGGCATAGCCTGAGCTGACTTCCCCAGGAGAGGCTCGGATGATGGGAAACTCGCTCTCCTCGTTGGGATGGTCATAATCCTTCACGATGTACTGACATCCTCCTTTGGGAAGGCTCTCGTCATCGCTGGATTCTTGGCAACAGCAAGGCTTTCTGAGGTCCTGGTGTGGTAGATTTCCCTCCGGAATTCCAATAGGAGCTGTAACTATACAGCGGGGAAATAGAAGAAAACTCTTAAAATAAGATGGTCAATGTCAGACACAGAAACCAGGTCTACATGTGAAGGTCCAATGAAACTGATTTACTGCTATCCATGCCTATGCAAAGGAATCTTCTCAACTAACGGTTAGCCCCTGACTGAAGTAAGATAAGGGTCAATGGCATTCAAGGAGATTTGGACTTAGTTTGCTTGTGACCACATAGAGATTCTAGGCTGGTCCCTCCTTTGACTCCACCCCCAGGTTCTGCCGCTTCTCCTGCTCCAGTCCAACCCATGCTAAGAAAATCAAAATTAAGCCAGGGCAATTTGCTTTTGTGCTCTAGAACTAGCCAAGTGGATTTCCCTAAACTGAATTAACGATCAAATTCAGCAAAGGTTTGCTTCCCTTTTAGGTTACAGGTAGTCCTCAATTTACAGTACAAGCATTTGCTTAGTGACCATTTGAAGTTACAACAGCACTGGTCTGCAATGATAGTAAGCGCATGGACTAGTTGTCTAGTTGTCACTTTTTTCAATGCCGTTATAATTTCTGATGGTGGCTAAAGGAATGGTTGTTAAATCGATCCTGGGTTTGCTTGTGTGCCAGATAAGGTTACCAAGTAAATCTTGGTTTATGTTCCACATCGTACAGCTCGATTCTGCAATAGGCAGCAGGTTTATAAGTACGAATTCTGACTTAAGCACAAATTTGAATTAAACATTTAAAGGAGTTAAAAACTGAACTGTTCTTAATCCAGAGTCTCCTGACATCCAAGTGTCTGTGGAGATTCTCAGTCATCCAGGTCATAGTTATCCCAAAGACGCTTTTCCATGAGGTAATTGGACTTTCTTGTTCTTTGAAGATGTTTCGCTTCTCATCCAAGAAGCTTCTTCAGCTCTGACTGGATGGTGGGGAATGAAAGGATTTATACTCTTTGCAGACAACTGGTCATTTGCATGCTTTTAAAGAGTCCTTGAGGCCACTTGGAGGTTAATCTGTGCCTTCAGGTGTCCATTCCCCACCATCTAGGATTCTAGTCAGAACTGAAGAAGCTTCTTGGATGAGAAACAAAAGAAGAAACAGCTTCTCCAGTTCTGACTAGATGGCTGGGAATGGATACCCTGAGGACACAGATAAACCTCCAAGTGGCCTCAAGGACTCTCTAGGGGACTGGAGGCTAAAGTATATAAGGAAAGGCTGCTGAAATTGGATATGTCTAGTTTAATGAAGAGAAGGACTAGGGGGGACATGATAGCAGTCTTCCAATATCTCAGGGGCTGCCCCAAAGAAGAGGGAGTCAAGGTATTCTCCAAAGCGGCTGAAGGCAGGATAAGAAGCAACGGATGGAAACCAATCAAAGAGAGAAGCAACCTAGAACTAAGGAGAAACTTCCTGACAGTTGGAACAATTAATCAGTGGAACAACCTGCCTCCAGAAGCGGTGAATGCTCCAACACTGGAAGAGACTGGACAGCCATTTGTCCAAAATGGTGTAGGGTTTCCTGCCTGAGCAGGGGGTTGTACTAGATGACCTCCAAGGTCCCTTCCAACTTTACTATTATTATTATTATTATTATTAAAATGTCTTCAAAGGAAAAAAAGGAAGTCCAGTTGCCTCGTGGAAAAGCGCCTTTGGCATGGGCTGTATCCAATCTGCATAAGGAAACTTAAGATCCGGGCACAGAATAACAAGAACAATGGAAGTCCTGAAACTTGCATTTTCACAGTGGAAATAACAACAGAGGAGAGAAACAGGGGCCTTACCGTCTCCCTCCTTCTCGCCTTCACTTTCTTGATCTCCTTCATATCCCGAGCAAGCATCCAAGCTCCAGTCTAGAAAATTATCCAGAAGACTTTCTTCCTGAGTGGACAATTCAGCCGTGGGGGTGGTGACAAAGCTCCCCCGGTCCTCCTGGATGCTGTCTTCCCTTCTCCTGTGGAAGGAACACTGCCATGAATAACCGTCCAGAATGAGAAGGTCCTAAACCTCCAGAGTTCAAGGGCAGTCAAGGCTCGTGTGCTCTTAGGGAGAAAAATCAAGATGGCCACCGCAATCAGATCGCGCAAACGCATGCACAAAGGAGGTGGGGCTTGCATAGCATGACTGCAGCTCCGTCTTGATTTTTTTTTTTTAAATGTCCATCCCAGCCTGTGACCTGGAAAATACCCTGATTTTCTTACAATCTAGGGGCTGTAGGTACTAATCCCACTCGAGGAGAACGAGTTCAAGTCTATACTTCGCAGTCCTAGTGGACAATTACTTAAATATGAGCCAGCTGTGTCGTGACTGCAGCTCCGTCTTGATTTTTTTAATGTCCATCCCAGCCCATGACCTGGAAAATACCCTGATTTTCTTACAATCTAGGGGCTGTAGGTACTAATCCCACTTCAGGAGAACAAGTTCAAGTCTATACTTCGCAGTCCTAGTGGACAATTACTTAAATATGAGACAGCAGTGTGCTGCAGCTGCCAAAAAGGCCAACACAGTGCTAGGCTGCATTAACAGAGGGATAGAATCAAGATCACGTGAAGTATTAATACCACTCTACAAGGCCTTGGTAAGGCCACACTTGGAATACGGCATCCAGTTTTGGTCACCACGATGTAAAAAAGATGTTGAGACTCTAGAAAGAGTACAGAGAAGAGCAACAAAAATGATCAGGGGACTGGAGGCTAAAACATATAAGGAACGGCTGCTGGAATTGGGGATGTCTAGTTTAATGAAGAGAAGGATGAGGGGGACATGATAGCAGCATTCCAGTATCTCAGGGGCTGCCACAAAGAAGAGGGAGTCAAGCTATTTTCCAAGGCGCCTGAAGGCAGGACAAGAAGCAATGGATGGAAATTAATCAAGGAGAGAAGCTACCTAGAACTAAGGAGAAACTTCCTGACAGAACAATTAACCAGTGGAACAATCTGCCTCTAGAAGCGGTGAATGCTCCAACACTGGAAGTTTTTAAGAAGAGATTGGACGGCCATTTGTCTGATATGGTTTAGGGTTTCCTGCCTGAGCAGGGGGTTGGACTCGATGACCTCCAAGGTCCCTTCCAACTGTATTATACTTATTAATTAATAAGAATAAAACACTATAAAAATACAATTGATCGGCAAATATCTTAATCAGCCTGAGCTGGAAAGAACTGCCCGTGCTTTTCCCCATCATAAGCCGTAGCACAATTACTGAAAAGGGAGACTGGGATGAATGAATAGCTGTCTGTTCACGTACAAAGCTTTTCTGGGGGGGGGTTGTCCTGCGATAGAATTGAAGATGATTTCATTAGCGGGACCAGCTTGTAGAGAGGAAAGCAGCTGGAGCCAACTCAGCCAGATCTGAAACTGAAATCCAGGAATCGGAGAGACTTGGAAAGAATCTCTGCACTGTAAGCTTTGGGAAACTGCTAACAATCACTATAGACTCCGGGAAAGGGAAACCATTAGGTCATCTAGACATTTCCCAACAGTATGTCTCCCCATTGGCCACACGGATTAGGTTTTCCCCAAAGAAGGTGAGCAATCTTGAATTGCAGCAAAAACGCTTGTGAGAGCAAAACGAAACGAAAGCCCAAGGAGAAACCTAGAAGCAGAACCTAGAACCCACTTATTACCCAGAGATGGAAATCAAGGTTCTACTGGTCTTGGGTCTGCAAAGTCAAGAAATGTTGCAAACGCTACTTTCTTCCTTCTACGAAAAGCCTGAAGATGTCAATGAATGTTCAACCCATTTGTCTTCTGCTGTCTTCAAGCCATTCTGTATTTTTTTTTTAAGCAATAGAACTTGTGTTTTTTTCCTACAGTCCAACTTTTCTTCTCCTGGAGACCTCACAGGTCCACCCACTTGGCCCAAAGCAGCTGTTCCTGTTCAGAGCTGGAGACCCTAATTCCACTGTCCATGCAGGGCCCACCTCCTGCCAATTCGATCGGAACCCAAGGACTGAACTTGCCTTTTAGAACGTTTTCCAGAAGGGGAAGTGAGGAAGGTCTCCACTGCATTCACGTACGAAGATCCAGGCTCCGGGTCTTCCTGTTTCACTCCTAACAGGGAGCAGAGCTGGCTGTAGCTCGTCACCTAGAGCAACAGGTTAACTGAGGTGGGATGCGGCATCCAAACTGCCCTTTGCTGCCAAATACTGGTTCCTTTTTTTCTACCTTCCACCCAAAGAAACACTTCTTGCTTCTTCAACTGCTTAGTTACAGTCAGGTGCGAAGAATCAGGACCACACATTAAGTTGCAGTTCAGATTTATTGCTCAAGCTTACAGACAAGAATCTAGTAACTAAAGTTCAACACTACAATGGCACTGGATAAGGGTCAACGGAATTCAGGAGGAGTTGGACCTATTGTGACTAAGCTGATGACACACTTAACTCCACCCCCAGCTCTGCCGGCTCTTCTCTTACAGTTACCAGATACAGGTAGTCCTTGCTTAGTGATCACAACTGTGATTGGCAACTCTGGCTTATCCTGTCGCTCTGACGGACTTACACCTCACTCCCAATGTGGTTGTTAAGCAAATCGCTAGCATTCGCTAACCAGATGACCTCCAACGTCCCTTCCAACTTTATTATTATTATTATAACATCCCATCGCTATGGCTTGCAATTTCACCGCTGACTTCTCCATTGGTTCTGCTTGTTAGAAGCCGACTGTGAAATACACAAGTGGTGCTGCCTTGACCATAGGACCCTGCGATGGTGGTCAATGCGAGGATCCATTGCAAAGGTGTTTTTAAGCACTGTTGTAACTTTGAATGGTTGCTAAACAAGGCAGTCAGTAAGGGAGGTCTATCTGTAATTCCCCTCTCCCAGAATTCTCTAGTTAGCCTACCTCTTCCTTTCCAATTTCTTCGTAGCGCTTATCCTCAAATCGTTGCTTCACAGCAGTCAGGGACACCTGTCTATAATCTTTGGGCACATCTTCATGGAAGCTGGGAAGAGAAAAATCGAGAACTATCTCCATGAACGTCTAAAACAGCCCTGGGTATCAGAATATCTTATCTTTCTCTGGCTTGGGATCTCCAGGTATGTTTGGCTGCAACCTCCACTGTTCCCAGATAACCTGGCTCTCATTTCTACCTGATACAGTCCCCTTTGGGATTCTACCAGTAGGAGGAACCCATGCTGGGATCAGCTCTTGAGATCTCCTTGGTGGTCTCCAAGTCTGGTTGTTTTCTTGCAGACGTTTCATGACCCTTACTTGGTAACAACATCACTGCTAGAAGGGAATGGAGTTTTCTCTCATTTTATATACTTGTGGCTTCCCCTGGTCTCCCGTTAACTGACAGAGCAAGCCACTACTATATAAAATGAGAGTAAACGCAATTCCCTTCTAGCACTGATGATGTTACTTAGTTGGGTCATGAAACAAAGATGGTTAGGGGACTAGAGGCTAAAGCATATAAGTAACGGCTGCTGGAATTGGGTATGTCTAGTTTAATGAAGAGAAGGACTAGGGGGGACATGATAGCAGTGTTCCAATATCTCAGGGGCTGCCCCAAAGAAGAGGGAGTCAAGCTAATCTCCAAAGCGCCTGAAGGCAGGACAAGAAGCAACGGGTGGAAACTAATCAAGGAGAGAAGCAACCTAGAACTAAGGAGAAACTTCCTGATAGTTAGAACAATTAACCAGTGGAACAACCTGCCTCCAGAAGTTGGGAATGCTCCAACACTGGAGGTTTTTAAGAAGAGACTGAAATGGTGTAGGGTTTCCTGCCTGAACAGGGGGTTAGACCAGAAGATCTCCAAGGTCCCTTTCAACTTTGTTGTTGTTGTTGTTATTATTATTAAATGTCTGCATGAATACAACCAAGCTCAGAGAGCACCAGGAACCTCACACTTCTCCCCCTTCTCCACCACCCCTTTCCTTCTAACCCGGATGATGTTACCTAGTTGGGTCATGAAATGTCTGCAAGAAAACCACCCAGCTCAGAGAGCACTAAGGATCCCTCATTTCAACCCTGAGCTACAAATCCTTTATCGGGATCAGCTCTTGCCTGATTTAGAAAGCAGCCACGGTTATTTTCCAACGGGCAGAGAAACCCACCCATTCCTGAAGTTCCAGTTTGTGAAATCCCCTCCCTGGCCAAAGGTTTTACCACTTCTGGTGGAGGCTCAGCACACAGGGAACCAGCTCTTCAAGAGAAAATCCTGTATTTTCCATTAGCTGGCTAGTCCACGGGCGAGCTGGAGACAGCAGAAAGGAGAAAAACAAAGATCAGTGCTGCTGCTTTTTTTAACCCTTCTGCACAGCTTAGCTTCACTTTATCTTGACTCGGGAATCCAGGTAGTCCTCGACCTGTCCCCCACAATTAAGTCCCAAAATTTCTGTTGCTAAGCCAGACAGTTGTTAAGTGAGTCGTGCCCCATTTTACGACCTTGAGCCGTGGTGGCGCAGTGGTTAGAATGCAGTACTGCAGGCTACTTCTGCTGACTGCCAGCAGTTTGATCCCGTCTGGCTCAAGGTTAACTCAACCTGCCATCCTTCTGAGGTGGGTAAAATGAGGACCCAGATTGTTGGGGACAAATATGCCGGCTCTGCAAACCGCTTAGAGAGGGCTGTGAAGCGCTGTGAAGTGGTATATAAGTCTAAGTGCTATTGCTATCTAAGCCGTGGTGGTGCAGTGTTAGAATACAGGCTGACTCTGCCCGCAGCGAGGAGTTTGATCCTGACCAGCTCAAGGTTGACTCAGACCTTCCATCCGTCCGAGGTCAGTAAAATGAGGACCCAGATTGCTGACTCTGTAAAAATTGCCCCATGTTCTAAAGTGCACTGAGTCTTCTATCTCTTTTCTCTTTCATGCCAATCTGTCCATTTCTGCACAGTCTAAACTTTTCTTAATTAGTTCTTCTTCCGTTGGTCAGTTTTCATTTTTCCAATGCTGGGCAAATACTATTCTTACTGCAGTTAATACATGTCAAATTAAGTATGTACCATCTTTCTCGTAGTTCCCTCCTATTATGCCTAATAGACACCATTCTGGCTTAAAATCTATATGGCCAAACTTATGAATTTCGACCACGTGGCCACCGGGAAGCCGCAACGGTCGTAGTTGTGAAAAAACGGCCGCAAGTCACTTTTCAGTGCCGTTGCAACTATGAATGGATGCTAAACAACCAGTCGTAAATCGAGGAGCACCTGTACAGATCTTCCCCCCCATCTACCAAGGTCATTCTCCATACCATTCCATTAAGCCAAGCTTCCCAACTGCGACGGAGTCAACCGATCATGGTAAACAAAGAACAGCTGGGCCGTTGCTCAGACCAGACTTACCTTGTCTGTGCAGGACTTTGGCTAGTAGCAGAGCTGCTGCGGACAAGCGGGCAGGAGAATAGATGCAAAGGCCCGTGTTCAGGAGGGAGAGTTCACAGATGAAGCTGTACAGGGAGGCAGTCCTTCTCTCCAGCGGGACGACGTTCAGCAGGACTTCTTTATAATCAATAATGGTAGGAATCTTTTTTTTTTTTTAAAAAAGGGAAAACAGGAAGTGCTAAGTCACCCATGTTCATAAGCTGGGCAAGATGTCAGAGCAGAAAGCCTCCAGAAGGCATCTTCTGAGGCGTGGCTGTTATAGGAATTCATTTTGAATGTTTTAAATATTGGGTTTAAAGACTTCCGGTCCCTTCCGGCTTCTTAACATTTCTAACCCGCTGCTCTGCACGAGGTTTCAAAGCCTGCGAAAGTCAAAAGACGTAACGCCAGTTCCAGAAACCCCAGAGTGAAAAGTCTTTGTGGTTTTTTTCTGGGCTACTTGGTTTTATAAATTCGAGGGAGGGAGGGAGGGTGGGAAGGAAGGAAGGAGGTAGGGAGGAGGGAGGGAGGGAGGGAAGGAAGGAAGGGAGGAAGAAGGGCAGGCAGGAAGGCCTTTTTTGCTATTGCAAGAAGGAAGGAAGGAAGGAAGGCAGGAAGGAAGGAAGGGAAGGAAGGAAGGAAGGAAGGAAGGAAGGAAGGAAGGAGGAGAGGGAGGAAGAAGGGGCAGGCAGGAAGGCCTTTTTGCTATTGCAAGAAGGAAGGAAGGAAGGAAAGGAAGAAGGAAGGAAGGAAGGAAGGAAGGAAGGGAGGGAAGGAAGAAGGGGCAGGCAGGAAGGCCTGTTTTGCTATTGCAAGAAGGAAGGAAGGAAGGAAGGAAGGAAGGAGGAGGGAGGGAGGGAAGGAAGAAGGGGCAGGCAGGAAGGCCTGTTTTGCTATTGCAAGAAGGAAGGAAGGAAGGAAGGAAGGAGGAGGAAGGGGAGGGAGGGAAGGAAGAAAGGGGGCAGGCAGGAAGGCCTGTTTTGCTATTGCAAGAAGGAAGGAAGGAAGGAAGGAAAGGAAGGAAGGAAGGGAAGAAGGAAGAGAAGGACAGGAAGGCCTGTTTTGCTATTGCAAGAAGAAGGAAGGAAGGAAGGAAGGAAGGGGAAGGAAGGAAGGAAGGAAGGAAGGAGGGAGGGAGGGAAGGAGGGAGGGAAGGAGGGAGGGAAGGAAGGAAGAAGGGGCAGGCAGGAAGGCCTGTTTTGCTATTGCAAGAAGGAAGGAAGGAAGGAAGGAAGGAGGGAGGGAGAGAGGGAGGGAGGGAGGGAAGGAAGAAAGGAAGGGAGGGAGGAAGACAGGCATCAACTGACTATTCCCGATTTTTCAAAAACTGTCCTAAGTCCTATACCTGTAGCTGGAACCTGTAAAATATAGGAAACAGCTACAGGATAACAGGTAAGCTGGATGTCAGCAAGATTAAAATTCTGGCTAACCAGAAAAATTCCCACAAAAGTCTGTGAGAGAAAAGTCAGTACGGTTCCCCAGCAGGGGATCGTAAGAGAGCATACACAAAATATTGATTTGCTCTACAATGCCAGGGAAGGGGAAAGAAAATACTGACATACAAGAAGACCTGGTTCCCCAGAACAGGTCCATCTGAGATGCAAGAGTCTCAAGAGCAACGAAACTGGTTTTGCTGGACCAGAACAAACTAGGCCCAGCCGTCTCCATCCAGCAGCTGATGCCCGAAGCCACGTTCGTCACCTCCGCACAACTTTACCTTTATCCTGCCTTCCAGGGCAGAAATGATCTCCCCCATCATCCTCACCAGATCTTCGTACTTGTACGTGTTGTCGGTCAACCAAACCGCTTCGCGAATCGTCAGAATCTCTTTACTCACAAAGCTGAAACCAAAAAAGCAGTGTGCGTCAAAGACCAACCGCGGGAGAAGTAATGGAGGCCTCACTGACCCAATTCTCACTGGGGGGGGAAAAAAAAACACCCACCCGTAAGCAGCAAAGTCACTAATGCTTCATCTGATTTCTAAGGGCAAAAGTGGAGTAACTCAAAACGAATTTCAGCAAAAGCGAATTCGGAAGCATGTCGCCTGACAGAGCCCTGAGCACTTGTCTGAAATGGTATAGGTTCTCCTGCTTGAGCAGGGGGCTGGACTAGAAGATCTCCAAGGTCCCTTCCAGCTCTATTCTATTCTAAAATGCATGGGTTCTACTGCCATAGCATTCAGAAAAACATTGCAATCCTCATTAAACAAAAATTACTACTACTGTAGGAATTTAGCTTTGGAGCTAATATGTTTAAATAAGAGAAATTTGGGGACCCTGAAATAGTTAAATAATTAAGTTAGCTTAAATTCAAATATTTGGAAAAATTAATAAAGTTTAAAACAGGATCTTTGGGATAGATAAGCTTTCGTAAAAGATTATTGACTAATGAAATTTATATCTGGCAATATACTTAATGAAAATCTGTGTTAGAAACGTTCTAATGAGATTTCAATAATTTAAATAGATAGAGCGCGTTGGTTTTGATCTAAGCATTTAATTTATATATAGCGATATATTAATGAATGAATTGGCTATAGGATTGTACTAATTTGATTATTATACTGATATTGAGCGGTTGAAAGTTTTTATTGACTAAGGAAATTTATACTTAGATATATTAATGAATGAATTTATTTGAATTTAATTGATTATAATATTCTACATAGATAGAGAGGGAAGTTTTAAGAAATATTGTGTGAATTGTATACATATAATGTTATTGGTCTCTTCTTGTAATTGACCACCATATCTCCACGCTGGTTCTTAAGCTTCTGTTGGTGTAAAATGGAAAAATAATAAAAATTGTTTATATAAAAAAAATTGCTACTATTTTCAGAGCATGCCGCTATCAGCACCGCCAACAGCTAGACGACTTACCGCAGTGGTGGCGAACCTATGGCACGGGTGCCAGAGGCAGCACTCAAGAGCCCTCTTTGTGGGCACGCGTGCCGTTGCCCCAGTCCTAGGCCTTCAGCTGGGTTTTATAAAACCTTTTCGCTTTAGGCCTCCGCTGCCGTGTGCAAAAAAAAGGTTCAATCAATCAGTCAATTTCAACTTCTCGCAGGAAAGAAAAAGATCTTGCAAAGTTGGGATTGATTGATTGAACTTTTTAGTCCCACCCAGTCTGCCGTTACCACCGCAGCCACGCCCAGCTAATGGGCCACGCCCATCCAGCACCCGACGATGCATAAGTGGGTTTTGGGTTGCAGTTTGGGCACTCGGTCTGTAAAAGATTCGCCATCACTGACTTACCGGGTACAAATGACCATGCACGCAATTCCTAAAAGCTGCAGCTGAGCCCGGGGCACGGGTCTTAGTTTCAAGTACCGATCCACACAGCCGATGGTCATGTGAAGGCAAAGACTGGAAAAATCTTTCATGGTGGCGACTTCCACCAGCCAATCCACCAAGATGTATCTAAAATAAGGAAGGAGAGCAAAGCCGTTAAGACATTCATCTTTGCTATCGGCTGGGAAGCAGTTATCCCGTTGTGTTTCTTTTGTCAGTCAATTTCCCTTAAAAAAAAAAAAAACAGAATGAAAAAAAAGAAAAGAAAAAAAAAGGATGACTGAAGAAACTAAAATTAATGAATTGATACCTTCAAGAAATACACCATTGTTGGTTGCTAAACGAACGGTTGTAAATCAAGGATTCCCTGTAGGGCACCTCGCGCCCAATGATTTTTTAAAAAGCCACATTAACTTTTATTGTGTCATAAAAACCAAAATCATTTGCCTAAAGAAATTGGGTTTAGCATATCCAGACTGATACTTGAAGCATTTTCACCATCTAGTGCAGTGTTTCTCAACCTTGACAATTTTAAGGCATGTGGACTTCAACTCCCAGAATTCCACAGCTAGCATTGGTCTAGTGAGAGAGTCCAAGTTTTTAGCACGATGACTGACAACGCGCTGTTTAAGGATGCTAGGGAACCCAGTTTTTACCCTAAGTAGGACGCCCGCCCCGTATTTAGCCGAATGTTTTTAAAAGCTGGCAGAAACCGGGTGAGGTCGCTAGATTTTGTCACATCTCAACCTTTTAAAATCTGAGCTTCACACTTTTTCAGAAGCAACCTGAAACCTAACAAGCTCTTAATAAATAGCGTTTTCCTGCCCCACCAACTAGAGATTAAAATTCCAAAAGTGTGTGGGGGGGAAACCCCTCCGTTTTGTAAAGTAGTTTTATTCCTGTGGATCCAGCTAATTAAGTTGCCCAGAGTCACTCCAGGGTGAGATGGGAGGCATATACACTTAATAATTAAGTAATAAAAACAGCAGAGAATAGATGTCTTTACCTCATTGTCTCATTCATACCCTTTTGGACAGTGAAGATGCTTTGCTTGCTCAGAGGAAGAGAAGCCTGGAAAAACTGGGAGAGGGTCTCCGGGGATATCTTGCTTTCTGGCCCCAGTTGGCTTCCGTTCCCGCAGGCTTTGGAGAGGGCGATCTGCACAAGGTAGAAAGCAACTCAAGTCAAGACAACGGAACTCAGCTTGAAGGAACTCAACCCTGAAGGACAGAGGTTGAAGCCGAAGCTTCATGGTTCCGATAGATGAAACTCTTCAAAAGAACTTCAAGGCATTGTTTACCTAAATAATCTTTTATTCGAGTAGCATAATATCGGCACTACATAATCGAAGCCAAAAACTGAATTCCCCTCCCCTGGGCATATAGTATCAAAGCATAATTCCCTTCTCCAACTACCTTGAAGCATGAGCTTCCTCTCCAGTTCTCCAGCCCGCCAATTCTTTATCAGCTCTGGGCTCAATAACCTTGATTCTCGTGCTAAGTTTAGTGTTGTTATGTCTAGCTAGACTCTCATTCACATCCCCCTCCCTCCCAGCATCATCTAACTCTAAAAGCAAAAGGCAAAAAGATGGCTACATTTCCATCTATTGTCAATACAAAACATCTGATGTTAGCAACATTGACACAAATGCTTTGGCCACCTAATGAGAACTCATTGGAGAAGACCCTGACGTTGGGAAAGATTGAAGGCAAAAGGAGAGGATGGCAGAGATGGTTAGACAGAGTCATTGATGCAATGAGCATGAATTTGGGCAAACTCCAGGAGACAGTGGAGGACAGGAGGGCCTGGCATGCTATGATCCAGGCTGATGTGAAAATTCGGGCACAACCTAGCAACTAAACAACAATAACAAAGCTCAGCTTTGATGGGCAAGAAAGAAAAAAAAACTCATTGTTTAGCTAGTAAGAGGGACTTTTTCCCTAGAGATGCTAAGATTTCAAGGAATATCCATATTAGTTGCTCTTAAAAAGAATCCTGGTGGCGCAATGGCTAGAATGCTGTATTGCAGGCTAACTCACTACCCACACAACCTGGAGTTCGATCCTGACCAGCTCAAGGTTGACTCAGCCTTCCATCCTTCCAAGGTCAGTAAAATGAGGATCCAGATTGTTGGGGGCAACGGGCTGACTCTGTAAACCACTTAGAGAGGGCTGCCAAAGCACTGTGAAGCGGGTATATAGGTCTGTTGCTCTTGTATTCGGTGACTGAATCCTCAACACTTTAGGGCAGGGGGGGTCTTCCAACTTGGCCCTTTTATGACTTGTGGACTTTAATTCCCAGAATTCCTCAGCCAGCATGCCTGGCTGGGGAATTCTGGGAGTTGAAGTCCACAAGTCTTAAAGTTGCCAAGGTTGAGGACTCCTGCATTAGGTGACTGAAAGCTCCTGCCTCTGTTATCTGATTGGTCCCTACGCAGCATCCCTTTCCCGCATCCCTCAAAGCCACCGCTTTTAACCATCTGATCACTTAGGGCAGGTCCTTCTTAAATTTCTTCCTCTGCCTGTTAACTTTTTTTTTGGGGGGGGGCCTCCTGCCTCTTTTGTCTGATTGTGTCACAGGCAGCATCTATTCTCTTCATCCACTGAAGTCATGCTCACGTATCTTTACAAAATAAAAAAACTTCAGATCCAGGAAGCGATGACCATACCTGAGCTTCCCAAGAGCCCTTGGCTGCATAGTCCCTAAGTTGTCTGAGGCTCTGAAGGTATCTACCAGGATCTGACATCTGTAAGAAAGAAAGGAAGTCATCACACCTCCTTCTCACAGGGGTCTAAGGAGAGCTACCTCTTCCCAAAAGACCCATGGCGTTGCAGCCTCTTACGCCGAAGAAGACTTTTGAACTCACAGCAGCTTTCTGGTTATTTTCCCACAGGAGGTAAGAGCTGTGCAAGCAGCCTTGCTTTGAGGACTCTTCAAACATCTCCAGAGCTTCTTTCCGCTTCTCTTCGTCCTAATAACAGAAAGGGGGAACGTGGGGGACATGGCTTTGTTCTGGGATCACATCACAATGCAGTCCTTTTTGTATGGGCCCTGGGTGCAACTTTGTCAGCAGTCCTGGCTTTTGTTTTAAGTTTCAAGGTATATATAGCTGCCAAATTCACATATGGGACCATTAAACACACAAAATAAAAACACACGGCAGCTCACCATCATAAAACAGCCATAATCTGCCTGAATGGATCAACCTGGGGGGGGGGTTGATACACTCTGACCCTTTGATTAAACAATGTCATCTATGGGGATCTTGGGAACAGGAATATGGGCTGTGATGGCGCTCAAAAAACCACCTCATTATCAATGCTCGCAGTTGATCTTCCCTCATCATGAGATTACCATTAGTCAAAATGTGTTGTTCTGTGCTTGAGGTGTTATTCCCCCCCCTCCCGCCTTACCTAGCAGAGTGTAGAGTTTGGAGAGGAAGGGATTACAAGAGAGTAAGCAGGCACACAAAAGGAAATACCCTGGGACTTTTGCATAGCATGTTCACAGCTGCTGATGCCAGCACATTCCTGTGGATGTGTATTCCTCATTGTGTGCCTGCTTACTTTCCTGTAATTCCTTCCTCTCCAATAAATGTAAATACGGAGATCAACTCTCTTGTTAATTATCCCCAGCCGCTAGAGTAAGTATTTCAAAGGTCAGGAGAGTAGGAAAAACAAAAGCTGTCACATTCACGTGATTTTCTACTTAGCAACTGCTTCACACAATGATCAAGTTGCTGCCCAATTGTGGTTGCTTTCAAGAGGCAACTTATTTTGTTACTGTCATTTAGAGCATCAAAACTCAAAAGATACTTCCAACACGTGTTTGCACACTAGAGAAGATAATGACAGGCTATACATACAGGAACATATTGAAGTGGTCCTTACCTCGAAGAGATTCAGAACTTTTGCCAAACAGTATAGAATCGATCCTCGCTGAGTCTACAGAAAGATCAAAGTCAGATGGTGTGTGGAAGACATATTTAGCATAAAGAGAAGCTAGAAATCAACATTTTCAGAACTGTCTTTTTTTTTTGAGCTTGCAAAGAAAGATTCTTTTTCATTATTACTGCAAATTAACCTGTTGACAATCAAGTAAAGATGTTTATTGGGCTGAGCCAACCCATTCTAGTTCAAAACAATATTGCCACTGTCCAGAAGCTCTGGAGAACTTTTTAAGAAGATAGATTTTGGGGAAAACACGTAACAAGCTCAGGGGCCTGAAAAATTTAAAAAACCTTGATTGTTGCAGAGAGACTGGCTGAGTCAAGGGCAGGAGTCAAGTGGAGAATTCCTACATGGGCACAAATCTGACTCCCCTTGAATGCCATTGAACCTTACAAACTGTGAGTCTAGAGAATATTTCCATATATAGGCTTGAGCAAGAAAGTAGCTAATTGAACTCATATAATAAAGTTGGCAGGGACCTTGGAGGTCATCTAGTCCAACCCCCTACTCAGACAGAAAACCCTATACCATTTCAGACAAATGGCTGTCCAGTCTCTTCTTAAAAACCTCCAGTGTTGGAGCATTCACCACTTCTGGAGGCAGGTGGTTCCACTGGTTAATTGTTCTAACTGTCAGGAAATTTCTCCTTAGTTCTAGGTTGCTTCTTTCTTTGATTAGTTTCCATCCGTTGCTTCTTGTCCTGCCTTCAGGTGCTTTGGAGAATAGCTTGACCCCCTCTTTATGCATGGATCTTGTTGTTTGCACCTGGTACTGATTTAGATTACGCTTTTATTAGCTTTAGAATATATGCTTGACCTAGTGAAAATTTATCAGTCTATATTCTGAAATAAATAAGGACTAGAAACTTAAAGATTGTCAGTATTTGCACTGTGTGGCTGGTGTAGTACTGCTGCCTTGATCATACTGATGTTGCCTTCCTTGAGTCCAGATTATTGTGCCCGTTCTTGGCAAAAACACGTTCTGCAAGAAGGGCGAATCGAAGTCTGAAAGACCCAGAACAAAAGCAGCTTACTTTTCGCTGCTGACACTCTCTCCGGAGGCTCTCGTACACCACGGCTTTGCAACAGCTCCCGCCCAGAGACCAGGGGGGACGTATGAACAGCCAGACAAAAGGCACCGCAGAGACATTTAAGCACTCAGTCAGGCTGAAAAAGTGGGATGCCTTCAGCCCGTTCACTTCCGCACGACCTTCATCGGAAACAGATGCTATCAAAAAAAAAAAAAAAAAAGAGGGGGAGGTGATCAACCTGGATGCAGGATGAAATTTCAGTTACCAGCTTGTGGACCGTTAAGTTCCATAATTGTGGCTCTGCTGCAAGGTAAGGCGCAAGAGATCCATAAAGCGGGGCCCTCTGTTCCCGGTGTTTTCTGCCCACCCCAGTAGGTGAAACAGGGTCACTGGTGGGGCCTTGGAAGCATGCCTTCTGCCAGAGATTTGGATGGCCCTGACTTGGTTGGCCTTCGGGAAAGTGGAAAGAAAGAAAGAAAGAAAGAAAGAAAGAAAGAAAGAAAGAAAGAAAGAAAGAAAGAAAGAAAGAAAGAAAGAAAGAAAGAAAGAAAGAAGAGGAAAGGAGGATAGATGGAAGGAAGGAGGAAAGGGAGGAAGGAAAGAAATTGAGAAAGGAGGAAGGAAGGAAGGAAGGAAGAAGAGAGAAGGAAGAGGAAGGAAAGGAGAGAAGGGAGGGTAGGAAAGAGAAAGAAGCGGAAAGGAGAGGATGCAAGAAAAGAGAAAGGAGAGAGGGAGGGAGGGAGGGGCACTGATTTAACTAAAGGCTTCTTTTTCAGACTTGTACATAAAACTCAGCTACGAATCAACTTATTTGAGACAATCAAGGTCCTGCGGCAAGCAACGTTGGGCATGGCTCAACCTGGCAGTCCAGAACAACTGTCTCCAAAGTGGGGTGCACATACTTACGGCCTTCATTGTAGAGGTAGGCTATTCCAAGTTTCACAGCAGCTTCAAAGTTACCCTTTTCTGCAGCCCTGCAGGAAAAAACAAAACAAAAGCAAAGCAGACTTTATTCTGAAGGAATTCAGAGCTCAGTAAAATACAGGGAGCTGCAGACCAAATCTGCGCATTTGTGCTGGGGATTATTCTCCCCTCAACTATCCTAACTAATGCATTTGGTAGGCCAACCAACACCACCTGAGAGATGGGGAGCATTTGAAAGATCAAAGACTTTTGTTTGCACTAAAACACATTGTTCTGTCCAGTGATAATGTTGTTGTTAGTTGCGAAGTCGTGTCTGACCCATCGCGACCCCATGGACAATGTTCCTCCAGGCCTTTCTGTCCTCTACCATCTTCTGGGGTCCATTTGAGCTCATGCCTACTGCTTCAGGGACTCCATCCAGCCACCTCATTCTCTGTCGTCCCCTTCTTCTGTTGCCCTCCATCTTTCCCAGCATCAGGCCCTTCTCCAGTGAGTCCTTCCTTCTCATTAGGTGGCCAAAGTATTTGAGTTCCAGCTTCGGGATCTGGCCTTCTAAAGAGCAGTCGGGGTGAATCTCCTCTAGGACTGACCGGTTGGATCGCCTTGCAGTCCAGGGGACTTGCAGGAGTCTTCTCCAACACCAGAGTTCAAAGGCCTCCATTCTTTGGCGCTCAGCCTTTCTTATGGTCCAACTTTCACAGCCATACGTTGCAACTGGGAAAACCGTGGCCTTGACTATACGCACTTTTGTTGGCAGGGTGATGTCTCTGCTTTTTAATATGCTGTCTAGATTTGCCATAGCTTTCCTCCCCAGGAGTAAAGCTCCATGGACAGTACCAGTGATAATATTTAGGCATAAATACATACAGGTAATCCTCGCTTTAACAATCGGTCACTTAGCAACTGTTCTTGCGTAGTGCGAGGCAGCTGATGGATTTCCCAAGTTCTAAAAAGTTACCTTTCGAAGATTTTCAAGTTTCTCGGGGAAGGCCACTCTTCTTGAAAGCTTGCACAGGCCCAAATGCAGGTGTGGTTATCTATAAGATACTTAAGATGAGAATGCACCTGGAAGAGAGCGAAGCAGACCGTAATAGCCAAAGAATCCTCAAATAAAGGCAATGAATGTTCAGCCAGGTGGAATATCCTGGGAAGCAATTGTACAAGACTGGAAGGACAGATTATGCCCGTGGTGGCGAACCTATGGCACGGGTGCCAGAGGCGGCACTCAGAGTGCTCTCTGTGGGCACATGCGCCATAGCCCCAGTGCTAGGCCTTCAGCTGGGTTTTATAAAACCTTTTCGCTTTCTGCCTCCGCCATGTGCAAAAAAAAAAAAAAAAAAAAAAGAAAGGTTCAATCAGTCAATTTCAACTTCTCGCGGGAAAAAAAAAGATCTTGCCAAGTTGGAATTGATTGATTGAACTTTTTAGTCCCACCCAGTCTGCCGTTACCACTGCAGCCATGCCCACCCAATGGGCCACACCCTTCCAATGGGCCACGCCCACCCAATGGGCCACACAGCCACGCCCACCCAATGGGCCACACCCTTCCAATGGGCCACATAGCCACGCCCACCCAATGGGCCACACCCTTCCAATGGGCCACACTCACCCGGCACCCGACGATGCATAAGTGGGTTTTGGGTTGCAGTTTGGGCACTCAGTCTCTAAAAGGTTCGCCATCACTGGATTGTGCTGTTTGTATCGTGGCAACAGTCCGCGATGCAAACAGGCAACAATTTGGGACTCAGATGTGATTGTGATGTAGAACTACCTCTACAGTAAGAACGCGTACGTGGAAAATGCAAAATAAAATGAAAAGTTTTCGACTTACAGCTCGGAGGGAAAGGATGTCTTCTATAGGAAGCCCTTTGAGAACATGGAAGAGGATGTCTTCTGGAAGACACAGCAAGGTCAGGATTCGGGGTCTCTTCTTCACCCTTCTCTTAGAAGGGACCGGGAAACACCGAGAGCATCGGCAGTGGGTGACTGCAACAAAGATGGTAAGAGAAAAATATGAGGAGCCATCAGGCACAAAGAATCAGAACCATCCATTAAAGTGCAGTTCAGAAGATTTATTGCTCAAGTCTGAAAACAAGAATCCAGTCAACTGAAGTTTAATATTAAAATTGGTGCCAGGATAAGGGTCAACGGAATTGAGGAGTTGAATTTGGAATGTTTGTGGCTACGTAATGATTCTTGGCTAATGACTTGCTTAACTCCGCCCACAGCTCTGCCTGCTCCTCTCCTACAGGAACTGATGTGGAAGCACTAGAACTCCCAAGCTGAATGACACCGCCAGCTCTCGAGTTTCTTCTAAAAACTACTATGCCAATTCCCACAATGGATTTACTACTGGCATAAAAAATGCAGTGCCTATTTATCTCAAAGAAAGCTCTGCCAAATTTCGCGTGACTTTTCTTCTGAGCGAAGACGCACAGGTTTGAATTAGACCCATTTCATTGACTGATGGAAATAAAGCAAGAACACACATCGGCATTTATAAACAGAGAATGTGGCCTACCTGTTCAAATTCTTTACCTGCCCGTGTCGACGATCAGACGGATCAACTGGATCTCTTATGCTAGAAGCTATCCAGCCAGCAAACCTGACCCACTCTTTGTAAAATGATCTGTCCTGGAATTTTAACAAGGTAGGACGAGACTCCAGGAAGTTTGCAAAAGACACGGTGATTTCATAATACCCCTAAGCTGTTGCCGAAAAGCGACTTTTTTTTTTTTTTTGCCAATTATGGGATCGCCCCAGATTGTGCAATAGCAAATCATTGCTAAAGGAGGATTGCCAAATTTCAGCTGACTTTAAAATGGGCAAAATTGGCAATTTTATCCTGCCTTTATTATTTGTGCGAATAGCTCAAGTTGAGCAAACATACGTAACGTTCCTCCTGCCTCCTGTTTTCCCCACAAAAAACCCTGTAATTTGGGTTGGGCTGACTTATACATTGCTTCACAGTGCTTTCTAAGTGGTTTATAGCAGGGGTCTCCAAGCTTGGCAACCTTTGGACTTCAACTCCCAGAATTCCCCAGCATGGCTGGCTAGAGAATTCTGGGAGTTGAAGTCCAAAACTTGCCAAGCTTGGAGACCCCTGGTTTACAGAGTCAGCCTGTTGCCCCCAACAATCTGGGTCCTCATTTTACCGACCTCGGAAGGATGGAAGGCTGAGTCAACCTTGAGCTGGTCTGGATCGAACTGCTGGCAGTTGACAGATTTAGCCTGCAATACCGCCTTCTAACCACTGCGCCACCACAGCTTAATAGTTCATTTAGTGAGCGTTCAAAGTTACAACAGCACTGAAATAATGACTTATGACCTTTGCAGCATTCTCACGGTCACGTGACCAAAATCCAGCCACTTGGCAGCTGACTCATATTTATGAGGGTCACAGCGTCCCGGGGTCACGTGATCCCCTTTTGTGACCTCCTGACAAGCAAAGTCAATGGGGAAGCCGGATTCATTAAACGATCGGGTTACTAACTTATCAACTGCGGTGATTCACTCAGCAATCGAGTCAAGGAAGTTTGCAAAATGGGGCAAAATCCACTTAACAACCGTCTCCCTTAGCAGCAGAAATGTTGGGATCGATTGTACTCATAAGTCGAGGACCACCTATATTTAGTAATAGTAAATTAATATTTTAAAGCAATAAAGTATTTTAATTAAGGCCCGTGCGTTGTTGTTTTTTCCCAAGCCATAATATCATTGCACACTTTAGTAGACTATAGTGTATACATAAATTTTATGTGCACGGGAAAAGAAAAAAATCATATGACTCTGAAGAAATATTCTCTTGCTTGCAGTGGTTCCTGTATTCAAATTGTATTAGAATAACTCATCCTGAGAAAAAGTGTTTAGATTCAAACCTCTTTAGGGAAGTCAAAGCAAAAAAAAAAAAAAAACTGCTGCTATTTATTCTTTCCTCCCAAATTTCATTTCCCTTTATAAAAGGGAGATAAAACAGCAAAATTCGGTTGAGTGAAGCCTCGTGAAACATCTTTGAAGCCAGCAGTTTACTTTTTTTTTTTATACAAAAAAATGGAAGCTGTTTAAAATATACAAAATTGTATTTCTTTGATGCCTCTAATCAGCGAGTTCTGGTTTTACCATACATTAAAAAAAAAAAAAAGACATTGACTTTAACTCTGCTTAAAAAGCAAATAATTACACTCCTTTCAAAGATTTAAACCTTTTTTCTCCATACCAAATTTTGTTCTGGGTCGATTTATGAGCTACCTGTCCTCTTTGGTACAGGATGGGGTGGAAATACCCCAAAGGCATTCCTATTGTAAAGGAGAAATCTTGTATTATGGTCTTATGGAGACCATGCAAGAAGTCTTAAGCCAATCCCTTCGGCAGACAGGCCAGCTCTGATCCTCTATAGGCTCCACTTACTTTTTAAATCGACCCGCCCAAAAAAACCAGGGTCCTCCTCCCGTTGAGGTTTTTAAAAAATTAGTGTATATATATATATTTAAAAAAGGGAGGAATTAAACCACTTCAGCTCCAGCAACGAGGGTCTACAGTAACAAAAAAAAACTATCCATGTTTGAAGACGCTCCAACAAGCCACAAGAAGTGCAACTTTAACCCAAGTTTTACCAAGACATCCGATGGCGCCGCTGCACCGGACGGATTTGGCTGGTTGACGGCTGGGGAGCCACGGGGGTTGCGGCACGGGGGGGGGGAAGCGCCCCCCCCGACTCCATTTCTCCCACCCGGGTTGCCGATCTAGCTTCGGGCTGCGTTCACACGTTACCTGCCGCCCGGATTAGGTTTTCCGACGATTGCACGGAAGAGAGGAGAGGCAGCCGGTGCGCCCATTTGGGGAAGGGGGAAAAACGGCGGGTGCCTTGCATCCCACGCACCCACCGCGGGGCTTTGCACGTACTCCTGGTCCAGCAGCTCCCACCCCTCCCTTCCGACGTGCCCCGGGTTGCAGCACCGCTTCAACCTGCAAAGCAACTCCGGCTGGGTGGCAAGAGGGACTGAGCAGCCTGTCCCGGGGATGAACGGTCGTGGGGATGAGTCACTCCCGTGTAGGACAGCCCAACCGTGCAAGCCCCCCCGGGGCTTCCCTGAAGACCCCCAGCCCCCTCCCCAGCCCTACGGCCCCTCGCAGGCTTTGCAAAGAGTCCACTGGACACTCACCGCCCGCTTTCATTCTTGCCAGCCGGCCGGTGGACTCTCGCCTCCCCGGGCAGCACTCGCAGAACGGCCGCCGCGGCGCCAAGCAGCTAGTTCGTAGTGAGCGCCGAGCCGGCCGGGGTGGGGGGGGGAGGAGGGGCGGGGCCTGACGAAGGCTCCTCCCCGTGACTCTGGCGGCCTGCCGCTCTAAACCCGAAGCCCCGCCCCTGGAGGCGAGCGAACTAGCCAATCGCCTGGAGCGGCCGGACCGAGTTAGGGCCACGCCTCTTTCCGCTTTTAAAGCCAGCCACCTCGCGCCCTCTTTTTCAAACCTAGCAAGAGCGGGGATTGGACGGGGGGCGGGGCGAGGGCGGGGCCAGCGGGGAAAGGAGGCTACCTGGCCTGGGGGGGGGAAAGGAGGGGGAACCCGTCAACTTGCGGGGTGGATTCGAATCCCGCGCGTGCAGCGCAGCGTTGCCGCGCAGGCGCAGAAGCTGCTCGGGCTAGCCGGTGCTGGTTCAGGATTGTGGATTGGATTTAAGGAAACGGAAGATGGGTTTCCCGATCCCGATGCCGTGCCGCGGGATGGAGGAGGATTCGCACCTGATGCTTTAGTCGGGCTTCTTTATTTTTTTTTTTTAAAAGCCATGACATATTAAATTCTATTACGATATATAATGTTGTATTAAGGTTATCACGTAATATTAAAACCCAAAGTCGATTGTAACCCGCGGCATATAAATTTTAAAATAAAAGTTGGCCAAAAAAAAAAAAAAAGATTGCAAAAGTCAAACAAACCATGCAAAACCAAAGAACAGCTCATAAGCAAGAGCGATACAATCTAAACAAGAAAGAGGAGGGAGGGGAAAAAAAACCAAACTTGGCCACTTTGGGATGTCTGGATTTCAATGCCCAGAATTCTCTACCCGGAAGGGGTGGAGGGAAATTCCCCTCTGGCTGGGGAATTCTGGGAGTTGAAGTCCATACATCTGAAAGCTGCCAAGGTTGAGAAACATGGAGATGAAATTGCTTTATGTAATAATTGCTCCGTCTGCAAATCACCAAACCCTTCACTGGCGTCAGGTGTACACCAGGGGGCGCCCAATCCAAGCGGTCTTGCATATCTTTCCCCCTTCTTCCATAATCTTAATTCAAACCAGCTAAAAAGCCAAACTTTTTGCTTACCACATAAATAATCCTTGTGAGCCCAAGAGGACCATCAACTTACAACCATTTATCCAGGATGGTATAAAGGTCTCCTGCCTTGAACAGGGTTGGACTAGAATACCTCTGAGGTCCCCCTTGAGCCCTATGATTCTATGTTCTACGTTGTTGAGCGGTGCACAAAATGTGCAGGGTGCCCCCTGAAGCATCAATGCTTCAAACAGAGCAGTACAGGTAGTCCTCAACTTACGACTAGTTGCTTAGCAAGCATTTGAAGTTGCAATGGCTATTAACAGGTGCGGATTTGAAGTTCCAGCAGCTGCACACACAGACGCACACACACACACACTGTAGTCGTGTGATTGTATTTTGGATGCTCGGCAACTTGACCATTAGCGGCATCCTGAAAGCTGTATTTTTGCCAGAAACTGACGTTTGATTTTGGTTTCCAGCAAATAATAATAATAATAATAATAATAATAATAATAATAATAAAAATAGGCCCATTGCAAATGACTGCTTTGCTTAACCCTAACCCCTAACCCTAACCCCTAACCCCCTAACCCGTAACCTGTATCTTGTAACCCTAACCCCCTAACCCCCTAACCCCTAGCCCTAAACCCTAACCCGTAACCTGTAACCTTAACCCCTAAACCCTAACCCCCTAACCCCCTAACCCTAACCACCTAACCCTAACCACCTAACCCAAACCCTAACCCCCTAACCCCCTAACCCCCTAACCTGTAACCCTAACCCTCTAACCCTAACCTTAACCCCTTTTGTGACTTTCTGGCAAGCAAAGTCAATGGGGAAGCCAGATTCACTTAACGGCTAGGTTACTAACTTATCAACTGCAGCGATTCACTTAACAACGGTGACAAGGTCGTAAAATGGGGGCAAAACTCACTTTACAAGTGTCTCACTTAACAACAGAAATTTTGGGCTCAATTGTAGTCATTAACCAGGGACTACCTGTACTTTAATTGCTCACATATACTGTAATGCTAAAATATGATCCAAACATCACCATCAGCTCCTAAGTGTTCCTCCTTTTGACAGAACGTGCAAACAAACACACACGCACACACACACACACACACACACACACACACAAGAACACAAACACACATGCTTTCAGAGGCTAAAACGCACTCCCCCGCTCTGAAATGGAAACTACAATCTCTTCAAGGAACAGAGTGACATAATAAAAATATATATATATATAACACAGTATATGAATCTCCCTATGCCAGAATCATTTCTGTACTCATAGATTGGTTTCAGACAACCCACCAAGTCCTCATTTGCTTCCCTTGGCTTGATTGCATAACTCCCAGGTTTATGGCTAAGCCGCTTGTGGGAATCCATCCCGTTGTTGTGGTGCATTCAAGCCTCGTGTGAGCAAATGATAACTGATCGCAGCTTGCGAGCCGTGCCGATGAGTTATAGACTTTCCCTGGACACCAGTTGACGGCTAGAAAAGATTGTTCAGTTCTCCGAGGTTCTGTTTGATTTCCCTGGGCGTAATAAGCCTTTGATTAAAAAAAAAAAAAAAAAGACTCACTTTGGTAATTCGGCAGAGCGGAGAAAAAGATTGTGTCTTTTCTGCAGTAATTTAGGAATTCGAGGCTGGAAGGAAAACCGGCCTTCAAGTGACGAGGATGGGTGAACATTTCAATCTGCTTTCTTGCCGTGAGGTTTAATTTGAACGCCTGTTATTAATAATACCATACCAGTAAGAAGGTTTGAAAAACCTGAGAAATGGATGGGTAGCCCTCGGCGGACAACCAACAGGGTTTCTATCCTAAGTCACGACGGGTTGTAAGTCAAGGCGCCCACGTGACACAAACCAGTTTTACAACCATTTCCCCCCCCCCCGTGGTCGTTAAATGAACACAACAGTGGTAAAGGAAATGCTGCCATTTGCACAATGAATCCATTCTGGATTTTTGCTGGAAACCTGCCCAGAAGATTAGAAACTGGCAAAAAACGTACATCGTGAGCCCCTTGCCAAGCATCCAAAATGCAGTCATGTGACTGCAGTGTGTGGGCATGTGTCTATGTGTGGGTGTATGTATGTTGTTAGTTGCAAAGTCGTGTCCGACCCATCGCGACCCCATGGACAACGTTCCTCCAGGCCTTCCTGTCCTCTACCATCTTCTGAGTCCATTTAAGCTCATGCCTACTGCTTCAGTGACTCCATCCAGCCACCTCCTTCTCTGCCGTTCCCTTCTTCTCTTGCCCTCCATCTTTCCCAGCATCAGGCTCTTCTCCAGGGAGTCCTTCCTTCTCATGAGGTAGCCAAAGTACTTGAGTTTCAACTTCAGGCTAAAGAGCAATCGGGGTTGATCTCCTCTAGGACTGACCGGTTGGATCGCCTTGCAGTCCAGAGGACTCGCAGGAGTCTTCTCCAGCACCAGAGTTTGAAGACCTCCATTCTTTGGCGTTCAGCCTTTCTTATGGTCCAACTTTCACAGCCATACATTGCAACTGGGAAGACCATGGCCTGGACTATACGTACTTTTGTTGGCAGGGTGATGTCTCTGCTTTTTAGTATGCTGTCTAGATTTGCATTGAATCCCTTAACAAACTGTCTTGCCTAGCAACGGAAATTTTGAGCTCAATTGTGGACATATGTTGAGGACTACCTTGTATATCCTTTCACTGGGGATTGCGTTTCACACATTTTCATGGGATGGTGAAATTAAGACTAGGAGATGAACCTTTGCTAGGGATGGAGAGAAGTTTAACTTAAAAATCAGCCCGTTTCCAGGAAATAAAAAAGAGATTGCCCTTGATTTACGGCTACAATTGGGAGCAGAAGTTTGGTTGCTAAGCAAGGGGTTGTTAAGTAACTCGCACCCAATATTCCCATTTGCCCCTAAAACAGGGGTCTCCAACCCCCAGTCCACGGACCAGTACCGGGCCACAGCATGCCAGCAACTGATCTGCACAAACAAGCGAAGCCCCATCCGTGAGATGTAGGCAGCACACAAAACCACGCACCCTCCGGTTGGTGGAAAAACCTCTCTCCATGGAACCAGTCCCTGGTGCCCAAAAGGTTGGGGACCTCTGTTCTAAAAGACAAGGCAAAATGTTTATCTCAGAAAACGCAGTCTCTCTGGAGACATTGGGACTCCAGGTTTTGTTTCTCTATTTTAGAATTGTAAAATAGATCTTGACCCAAGTTTGAAGGTGAAGATACAGTGGTAGCTTGATACTCATCGTTAATTGGTTCCGGGAGATGCAATGAGGTACCAAATAATTTTTTTTTTGTTAATGTCGTGAGTCACAAGGCAGCTGACACCAACAAATTCTAGTGCATTGAACAGCAAACAAACAATGAGTATCGGGACAGAATTTTCACGTTGGTTACCAAATTCAAGGAGTTTCAAAGCGGTTGAGTACTAGGGGACCAATTTATGGATACGGCTGAGGTCTTAAACATTCGACTGGACCACTCTATGCATCTGGCTGATTTGGAAGGTCGAGATTTTGAAGTTTGAATTGAGGTCACCTCATCCTCACATTGTTTATTAAATGGTGAGCCCCTTTATGGTCATCTGGGATTCATGCTCGGTGTCCTTCTTCTTTGGGAAGAGAAGGTGCTCCATCGTTACCAACCATCTCCTCAAAAAGAGGATGGGAGATGTTGCACCTGCTTAGCAGAAACTAAGAAATGGCTCTGATGCCATTTTGCCTGCTTGCTGAAGTATCCAAAGCAGCCACGTCCTATTGTTGAATCATAACAGAAGACAAATTTGCCATTTGGTATCCATTTGGGTGAGTTGTACTGCTTCATGTGGAGAACTTCATATCATGCTGAAGGGCCATTCCCAGCACTTTCCCCCTCAGTCCCTCACAAAGCATTTTAATCTGAGGCACAATTTGCTTTCATTTCTGCAGTTCTTGAAATGCAGAGAACATACAGGGAACATTATGTGCTGCTGACTGGTGCTCACTGCCC